CTCAGGCAATCCACTCACCTCAGCCTCCCAAAGGCACGGGATTACAGGCTGAGCCACCGAGCCTGGCTTCTTGGAAGGTTGAGGCAGAAGGATCGCCTGAGTCCAGCAGATAGAGGCTGTGGTGGCCGTGAGCATACCACTATACTCCAGCCTGGGTGACAGAGTGAGACTCCAACTCAAAAACAGTGATCCCTGGAGTGGAATAATTAGGAGCAAGTAGTTGGCCCACTAAGAGCTGTCTGGTCTCAAGAAGCTGGCCAGGCCCAACCAGAAGGACCTCCAGACCAGGTGACCAGCTGGGGAATCAAGCCAGGTCCTGGTCCTGGTCCTGACCCCAGCACCACCACCGAGTTGCTTTATGACCAGCGAGTCACTTTAGCTCTCTAAGACTCAGTTTCCTCATGTGTACAATGATGAGAGGAGGGGCACATCCTCCAAGCATGGACATCAGGGTAGGATCTCAACAAACGAGGGCTGAACTGTTGGTTTGGGTAACTGCAAAGTTTCTTCTAGAAGGGGCAGGGTTACACTGCTCAGAGGATCACTACCACCCCACCCTCCGTGACAGAGGGAGATCCAAGGGACTGAAGCCCTGGCACCTTCTCTCTGCAGGACCTACTTCCCATTTCCCTGGTCTGGGCTGAACAAGCTGACAGCTGCGGTTACAAAATGGTGAGGTGGGCGAGAAAGTGTGTGGGGAATCCCCAGAGACCCCCCGCTGCCCTTCTCCTCTGTCCCCTCTCATCTTCGCCTTTGCCACCCCCACCCTGCCTCCCAGGTTGATCATGAGGAAGAGTCTGATCCAACACTTGCATGAACGAGGGGTGCAGGTAAGGACTTGACCACCACTCCCATAGCAAGGTTTCAAGTTACATTCTGCTGCTAACTAGCTGGATCGCTTGGGCAGGTCACCTCTCCCACAGAGTCCCAGTTTTTTCATCTGTTAAATGAGGAGAATGGTGTAATTAACTCTTCTAGACATGTAACTGATATTTAGTAAGGGCTTGATGAATGCTAACCATTATGATGAAGATGATGTGTTGAACCTACTATAAGAGGGTGGCAGCCGGGCTCGGTGGCTCAGCCTATAATCCCGTACCTTGGGAGCCCGCGGGTTCGAGACCCGCCTGGGCAACTTGGCGAGACCTCATCTCTACAATAAATCAAAAATCAG